ACCCCTAGAACCCTGCAGCTCCCTGCCCGAGTCCTGCTCTCCCTCCTGGGGCCTTTGACCCTAGAGCCATTTGCCTCCAGCAGACTTTCCCCTTCCCTTTTCTTAATTGACATCTCTTCTTTCTGCCTCCTCCAGGAAGCCTTCCCTGCATCTTTCCCTTACTGTCATTGCTGTGTCCTTGATGGTCTCTGCCTAAGCACTGGCTGCGGTCCCTGGCCCAGTGAAGATTTTGGCCTTGAAGTCTGGTCTACATGTGAGGATTGCACACTGCAGACAATGAGCACAGTCTTCTCATCACAGATCAGGTGTTCAAAGGGATCTAAGTACTCCTTGGAACTGCTGTCAGTAAGCATGAAAGGGAGCCTCCCAATCCAGCCTCTGGGCTCGAGGCTTGGTCATTGGTCACCGGGGCACCTATCAGTCAGTCTCTACAGGGACCCTAGGGCAGGACTGGGCCTGCCTTTCCCTAGTGGCACCAGTAACAGATGGATCCACATAGGGAACACACTCCCAGCTCCAGTCTACTCAGTGTTCACCCCTGCCAACCTTGAGGGAACCGCCCCTCGCTTCCCAGTGTCATGCTAAGAAAACAGGGACCACAGGGAGGTCGCACCCTGGGGAAATGGCCTAGCTGAGATTTGAACCCTAGAAGCCTGACTGCAAGGCCTGGGTACCAGCACTCCTGGCAGTGGCCGGGTGGACCTGCACTCAGCACATTCACTCAGGCAGCGTCTACTGGAAGAAGCAGCTCAACTGTGACACACAACACAGGCATCACATCCTGAAGCAAGGCAGGAAGCAGAGCCCTCGTGTTACCTGAGCACATTCCAATCCCTCCATCTATTCTTTGTCCTTAAAGAGTTGTTAAAGCAGATCCTGACCCACAGGAGACAGGCCACTCCGGTGACCCAGACTTGTGGGGAGCACTGGGTGCCCACCTCTCCCCCTGGGACAGGGTAGCAGGGCTGTACTTCCCAGCAATGCACCCAGATGGTTGTCCATTCTCTGAGAGAGACTATTGTCCTTTCACTGCAGGCAAGCTGGCTGCCTAGCACATTTAGGCCCACACCCCCATGCCTGCTACCCAACAGGTGTTGGTGGCCATGGGTGACTTAGGAAACCTAAATGCCACAGGAGATGACATTCAGATGGGGTAGGCACTTAGCTAGCCTTCCCTTCAGAGGTTGCCTCTTCCAGGAGGCCTCTCCTGCTTTCTACCACAGGAAGGGTGTGGAGGGAAGGGAGCAGAGGTGGCAACCAAATGCAGTGAAAACAGAAGGCACTCCAGCTTCTCCTGGTTCAGACCTGCCCCAGGCCACTTCTCTACCTTCCTGCACATTGGACACACCCATTCCATCTCCCAGCTCCCACTGATGGCTCAGCCACAGCCCTCAGCATCCTTGAAGGTCATCACCCAGGGGCCTTAGCCACCCAGGCCATGTTGGTAGGGCAGATGGAGGAGCCACTGTCACTTTGAGAGGCTCAGCTTAGCTATAAATGTGATTCTTCATGACCTGGGTGAGGGAGGCAGATGGGGCACCATAGGGCAAAGAGAGTGTGGCTTAACGTTAAACTGGGGCCAGGTGAAGGAGGAAGAGAGGCATGAAGAGAAAGAAGAGTGCCACTCACTGGCCCTTTGTGTTGCCATTGCCAAGTCTGCACAGTGGCCAAGGCCACTGTCTTTGCAAGGACTGAGGAAGCTCAGGAACTAGTGGTTGCTGGCCCTGGGACCTCACCACCCACAGCTCAGAAGGTAGCCAGGCAGCCCCAGGGCCCTTGTCCAGGGCACAGTCCAATGACTCTGAAGGGGGTGTCAGGGCAGGTGCAAAGGCACCCCTTCTATCCAGATGAGGATGACTGGCTCTCCCTCCCCATACTTTGAGTATCTCTGTCTTTAACTTCTTTGAGTCTTCATTTGCTGCCCTGTAAAGTGGGGACAAGCATGGCCCCTCTAAAGAGTTGTTCTAAGATTGAAAATAGACAATGTAGGTCTGGTTTGGCACAGAGCAGTCAGCACCTTATCCTCACCCACAGCTCTAGGGTGCCTGGTCATTGAGCCAATATTGAGAAACCATTGGCTTGATCAAGTGTGGACCAACTTAATAATTAAACTTAATTTTCTGCTCGAATTTGAATTCTCCAACCAGCACTGCAAGTGAGCCCCAGAGGCAGCAGGGAAAGGACTAGAATGTGCTGGTGCAGCTGAAATGCTGCCCTTCCCCATTCTACGTGTCTACACATTTATTTTCCCCTTACAAAACCCAAGTAAAGGGTAAAAGGAGCAGGTGGTATTAGGAACCAGACAGATCTCAGTCAGCTTTGCTGCTGCCTGTGTGAATAGGGTCAAGTGTCTTAACCTCTCTGTGCTTCTATAGCTGAAAAACAGAAAGGTGCCTTACTTTGCAGGATTAAATTACAATGGGAAAGAGAGGAGTTTAGCAAATGAGAGGTCCCCTGCTGACCCCCCCATACACTCCTGTGACAAGGGCATTGGTCTGATATGCTGCTGTGTTTTGCAACAACTGCTAGGGGCCTTCCCCACCATCAACCACTAGGGCACTTCTCTCTCTTTGGCACTTCCTTATTATATACTGTAACACATTCTGTGCAAGGTGGGACACCCAATAAATGTCATTTGCAACACGGGCAGGAGAATACTGCCTGTCAGAGGAAGAATATAGGACTTTGGAACTAAACAAACCTGGATTTCAATCCTGGCCCTGCCAACTGGTGAGTTGTATGGGCTGGGACAAGTCATTTCAACTCTCAGAGCCTTGATTTGTCATCCAGAAAATGGGGACAATTATCCCTACCCCGTGGGGATATTGGGAGAACTAAATTCACTGGCTCACCATCAATTTACTGAACATCCTTATGCATCAGCCCCTGTTCCAGGTACTCAACAAACAGCAGTGAACAAAACAGACAAAACTCTACCTAGGGAGACAGACAATAAACAGCTGGCCACACAGACAGCAGGTCCCATGGCGGTGCACTAATCAGAAACACAAAGCAGGGAGTGGGGAGAGAAAGGGACAGGGGCAATGGCAGGCCCCCCACATGGGAGCAGAGACCTGAAGGATAGAGGCTGGGTGGGGGAGCCATGTGCAGAGGGAGCATCAAGTCGGGAGCCTTAAGGAGAAGCGTGCTTGGCGTGTAAATGAAGCCACATATGCGGGGAGTCTGGCATGGAATCCAGGTGCTCAGCAAATGCCAGTGCTCTATTTCAAGTCCTGTAGAACGAACCCCACGCATGTGTCCCTTCCTGAGAACGAAAGCACAAGATTCTTCAGGGCAAGACTGAGCCAAGTGTTCTTTCAGCGGAGAATCAGGCAACATTTGAGCTCTACCATCAGGCTTTGAACTCCTGCCAGGCACCAATCTCTGGAATGGGCAACCCAGGGTACCAGCTGATCAAGACATGGGTTTTGTCCTCAGGGAACCCAAGGAGAGCCGTGGAGATGGAGACAGCAATGCCATGTGGTTGGGTGAACACGTGAAGGATCTCAGCAGGCATCCAGGCAGCAGAGCAAAGCAAGGGGCCATAGGTGGGCAGAGTGGCTTTCTGGAAACGTGACCACTGAGCTGGATATTGAAAGATGGATATCCCAGGTGCGAGGGGCATCCCCTGCTGAGCACAGAGGCGCGAAAAACAGCACAGTGTGTGCAAGAAACTAGTAACAGCTAGACCAGCCTGTATTTTTGGCACTTGCTATCTGATGTGACTTAAGGATTCCAGTTCTGCTCCCCTTCTCATACCCAATGCACAGCTTCCAGCCCCACAGGAGAGCAGAAATCTCCCAACTTAGCCATAGCTAGCTAGGGGTAACCAGCCTGGAACCCACTCCCAGCCTAGGGAGCCCCGCCCCCAGTCAAGGGCCTAGAGGAATGCAGCCACAGGCAGCTGCCTGGCTGGTGTCTGTCCCTTCACTCACTCCAAGGCTGGCCCACAGGTGGCAGAATAGCTTCTTTACTAGAATAATAACGCAAACATTTCTTAATTAAGCAAATGAGTAAGGGGTTGTGCCGAGGTGCCTCTGGCCAAGGTCTTTTGTTGCTAGAAAATGGCGGGCTTCCATCCCAGATTCCTCCTGATGGGGTGGATGAGTGGGTCTCCCCATCCCACCCTACCCCACCCCTGCTAGTCCTGTGCATAGGAAACAGAGGCCAGCAGCCAGTGAGCAGACCCAGGTTCCAATGCCACCTCTGCGGCTGGCCAGCTGGTGACCCCCACCTCCCTGAGAATTGGAAGGTTCCAGAACAATTGCCTTAAAGTTGCCCAGAGGCTTGCTTATAAGCTGTTTTATGGATTCTGGGGCTCAGCACAGGCCACTGCAAAAAGGATTTGCAAATAATGGCTGAAGGGGGCTACAGGGAGTATTAGAATGGAGATGGGGTGATTAGTTCTTGTCCTAAAACCTCACACAAAATTTGACCCACAGCTGACTCTAGCCTTTGTACCATATCACAGGTACACACACACACTCAGCCAACACCTTTTGCCCTAAGGATGCTATAAAGGCCTAACCTTGAACCACAATCCTCCAAAACCTGGAGTGGGGTAGGGCAAGCAGACAGATCGGCCCGTCAGTTTCTCCCACTACTGGCTGCGTGACCTTGGGTGAGTCATTTCTCCCTCTTCGCTTCCATTTTTTTCCCCACGTAAAACTACAATGCCTATCTCCTTCAGGTGTGCGGATCTGTTCCCACCATTACCGGGTATGTCTCAGTAAAGGCCTCCTGTGCCTCCCCCGCTCCACCCTATTTCCCCCCTCTGGATCCCCTTTCTGGTCTCGGAATTCTAGGGTGGTTTTAACTAGAGGGCGATGCGCTCCGCAGCAGCGACTCCGACGGGGCTAAAGAGCTCCCAGACGAATGGACACCAGAGGGGGGCGCAGCCGGGGTGCTCGTGGGAATGCTGCCAAGACAAGGCAGCATGAGTGGCGGGGCGCTGGCGGGCTGCAAACTGGGGGACCCCTGTGAACACCCTCCCTCCTTACCAACTGCGATGGGCACACTGGCGGCGACTCGGCACTGCACCCGGGCGGCTCCTGACCGTCGGAAGCCCTGGCGAGCCCGGCTCCAGTCACCCCCCAGGTCGCCCCAGGCTCGCTCATCAGCGCCCTCAGGCTGGAACAAAGGCGAGGGGGCTAGCGGCATCGCCCTGGCGGCCCTTTGGCGCATCTGGTTAAAGCAAGGAGAATGAGGACGGGGGTCCCCAAGGTAACCAGGACGCGGTACCCGCCCTCCCGGAGCGCGAAGCCCAGTGCCAGGCGCGCGCTGAGCGGGGCTCGGGGAGGCAAGGGAGACTCCAGCCCGATCCTCGTCGCGGGCTCCATCGGGCGTGGGGTGGCTCTCTGGGAGTCACCCGCGGATCCCCGGAGGAGAGGAGAGCCCGCCTCCCGGGCTGGGCTCCGGGCGTACCTGGCAAGGTCCTGTGCACCGTGTTGCCCATCGCTGCGGCGGAAGCGAGGTCAGCGGCGGCGCGCACCGAGGCTAATTCCGCGGCGGGCCGGGGGCCGTGGCCAGGATGGGGCTCCGGGGCATCGCCGCTGCACCGGCGAGCCGGCGGCGGCAGCTGGGCGCGCGCGGGAGGGAAGCGGCGGCAGCGGTGGCTGCGGGCGGAGGAGGCGGAGCCACCGGCCCGGGCCCGCCGGCCCCGCCCCCGCCTCCACCGCCGCCAACCGTGCAGGGGCGGGGCCGCCGCCGCCGCGTCTTTTGAAAGTTTGCACCGGGCGGCGGGAGAGGCTCGGCGGAGCCTCCCGCCCTAGCCTCTCCCGCGCCCGGGCCCGGAAGGCGCGCGGGGCAGCCGGGTGCTTCGGGTGCCAGGTTCGTGGTGTGTTGGCCCTTTCCCTCATTCATTCCAACACGAGAGAGAAGCCCACGGTGTACCAAGGCCTCTCCACGGCGCAGGGCCATTGGGGCCAACCCTAGCGCAGGGGACTGTATGCCAAGTGCTGAAAGTGTGATGGGGGTGGGAGCGGGGACGTGCACTCAGGCAGAAGGTCGTTGGGGACTGTAAAGGGCTTGAAGGTAGTCCAACCAGGGTAACCAGGATAGAGGTGGAGACCTCACTATTCCCGAGATCCCAGCCTGGGAGTAAGACTTAGGCCATGTTTAAAGTTCGGGAGCAGGGAAGTCCATATGCATAAATTCACTGAGTCGCTTGTTCATTAAAATCCTTACTGAGCAGGTGCTGTGGTGGGTCGGGAAGATACAGACAAGGTCCCCACGCATGGAAGGGACATGCTAGTGGTGGAGACAGAAACACGAGCAATTAAGATCACATACTATAGTGATCAAAGCCAGGATGAAAATAAAACAAGATTGGGAGTGACAGTGTCACATTGTTTGGAGGCTTTAGGGAGTGGGTGTTATGTAATCTGGTCTGATGGATAAGGAAGAGTGAAGAATCTGAAGCAAGGAAGAGTGGAGAGTGTTTCTGGTGGAGTGGGTAATGGACATCCCACAGGTCTTTTCTGAGCACCTCTCCTGTCTGGAAGGGGTGGGGAGGCTCTGGGCCACACTCAGAAGTGAAGCCTACTAGTCCATGGAGCCTCCCTGGGCTCCATTTCACAGACTGAAACACTGAGACTCAGGAGATGCAATGACTTGGCCAGGAACATCAGCTTCCAAAACAGTTTTTTTCCCCCTGACTTTCTTACTTTAAAACTCATGAAATAGGGCTTATTATTTGCACTTTGCAGATAGAGAAACTGAGGCTCAGAGAGTCAAAGAGAGGTGTCAAAATCTATCTCCCAGCTGGGAAGGGGAAAGACTGGCCTGGAGCTACTTGAATAACCTGCCATCTCCTGCCACCTGCTTGTTGAACTTGACCCATCCCAGAGGATTCTTATTCTTCAAGGTCAGCTCAGAGCCTTCACTTCCAGGAAACCCTGCCAATCCCCTGTCGGAGAATGAGGTGCCTTGTATTTGATATCTCTTGCATTATAAGTGCCCTCTCAGTTATTTAATTTTTAACCCCAAAGTTGTGGTTGAGTACATTAGCTCAGCACGCCTTTAGTGCATGCAAACTTGAGATGCATACAGAGGACTACATTGTTATAAAAGGAGTTAGGGGAATTTACTCAGCTAAAGCAATTCAGAGCAAAGGGGCTTTGTGACCATGAGAATGGGAGGCTGTTGCATTCTGGACCTTTAAAGGTCAGTTTCAGAGTACCCCAGTAGGCAGCCCTGTTGTGCAGGTCACAAATGCTCACCTACAGCCAACTGACCTGATGTGATTCAGGGGTACCTGTGGAGACCCTGTGTCCAGTGGATGAGATCCCTGTGAAGCTAAACCAGCTCTGGAAAACACTGCTCCCACTCCTATGATGGTGACTCTATTGTTAAGCTGAAGAATTGGGATCAAACAACTTCTTGAAGTTATAAGGTGGGACAAAAGCAATCTTTCCAAATTAGTATTTTAAACTGGGCCTCCATGGCTCATGCCTGTAATCTTAGTTCCTCATGAGGCAGAGATCAGGAGGATCAGGATTATAAGACCCTGGGAAAATAGTTTATAAGACCCTATCTTGGAAAAAAAAAACAAAACATTACAAGAAAGGGCTGGCAGAGTGGCTTGAGTGGTAAGCTTGCCTACCTAGGAAGTGTAAGGCCTTGACTTCAACTCATCCCCCCTAAAAGTGTTTTATATAAAACAATTTTAAATATGGATGTCTCACTAAGGGAATAGTTTAAATATTATTAGTAGACATCTGCTTTTTAATCTTCACTGCTTAAAGTTTATATTACTCAACTTTATTGTGTATCTTCTCCTGGGGAGAATGAGGGCTGCATTTTACCTTTATCTGGATTGCCTTGTATTTGGGAATATACAGTAATTGACCCCTCATCTGAGGTCTCCCTGCACTTGGTCCTGTACCTCAGGACCTTAAGGCAGGTGCTGTAGCTGTTCTGTTTCTGTCCTCCCTTGTGCCAGACTGGATGCTCAGGATGCAGGTGACATTTATCTGGGACTCCCCAGTGCCCACTCCCAGTGCCCACATAGGGCTGACCTTGGCTCAGTACTCATTTGAATAAATTGTCTACAGAGATGCATTTCTCTGAGCTGGGAGAAGACAGGAAGAGAAGAAGGAAGAGGAAGAAATGAACTGTGAAGGCATGAGTTGATAGTAGCTCTTCTAGACTGTGGTATAATCAAGAGTGACACATGCACGGAAAATAAACAACTTTGATGTGTGGACAGAAATACAGTCTTCAGAACAAAGTTGGAGGAGGGGAGGATCAGGGAATGCTGCCAACTAGAGCATTCCAGTGGCCACTTTGGCTCTGGGAGAAGGAAGACCAAGGTGGTCCGCAAAGGTAGAGCTGCTGGCTTTGGGAAAGAGGGAGACCCCTGGCACAGGAGATGTGAAACAGAAGCCATATGATTCTGGGCGGGGTGCTGTGGGCTTCCTGTATTGCCTGTCTCTGGAAGCACACCTGCCTGTGCAAAGATCCAAGGAGCCCCTGCAGACCACAGTAGCTAAGAGGGTAGACAAGACTCCATATTCCATAGGGCAGTTGGAGGAGGGGCTGCACCAGGCAATCAGCAGGTGCCTGATGCATAGGAAATGCTGGAAACCGAAGCCAGTAACAGGATGTCTTTTTTTCTACCTGTTGCCCACTTGTAAATATTCAGTAGGAGCACTAGAAGACTTTTCTATTGGGAGAGAACTCAATAAACTACTTTTGAAAACACAGTTTTATGTGATCAGTTGAAATACTGCCCGCCCTGCCCTAGCCTGTGGGCATGGAGTGTTCCCAGCGTTCCAGCAGAGAGCTGAGCACTATGGGGCAAGGCTGCGACACAAAGTGTTCGATTCAGTGCACATTTGCTAGGCCCAAGCTCTGCCTTGCCTCTCCATGGGTAGGGGAGTGGGCACGAGAGGAAGAGGCAGACAGGGTCAGCTTGAAGTTCCTTTGATACCAGGACAGCAGGAACACAAAGAGACATTTTCAGAATGTTGCTGGTGACTGTCATCTTTATGATTTTGCTGGATCCAAATACTGCCTGGATTATCACTCAATAGTTTTTTTTTAATTGATTCACTTGAAAATACACAACTCAGAAAACTGTAAAGCATTATTAAGAGAAATTCAAAAAGGCTAAAAATAAAGAAAAATGGATTGGATTACTCAGCATTTTAAAGAAGTTAACTCTGCAGAGTGACTTATAGATACAGTGAATATAACCCTCATGAAATTTCTAACAGGTGTTTGTGTGTGTGTGAGAGAGAGGTGGAAAACAGATTCTAGTGTTCTAAAACATTTATGTAAAAACAAAAGGATGAAGAGAGTCATTTAAAAAATAACAAAAATGAAGTGGAAGGATTTGCTTTACTGAATGTCAATGCCTATTTTAAGGCTATGGTAAATAAGACACACAAGTAGGCCAGAGGGGTGGAAGAGAGAAGCCAGACATAAATAGACATGTTTTGTGACCAGTGTGGCAGTGCGGGATGTCGGAGGGAAAGGCATCTTTTCTGTGATGAGTGCTGAGCAAGTTGGAGATACACATGGCAAACAAGCTTGGTGTGTATTTTGAACCACTCGCAGCAATGGTTTCAGAGGGAGTTTAGATCTCAACATTAAAGGCAAAAGGTAAGTGACACAGAGAATGACTTCATGCCCCTAGAGCAGGAGAACAATTCTTTGGCATGTCAAGAACGTGCTGACCATAAAAAAAGGGATTGATCAACTTACTTACATTAAAATTTAAAATTATATTTGTCAAAAAACATCAACAGGAGAGTGAAAAGGCAAATTATAGAGTAGGGTGTGGTATTTCACAAATATATAACCAACAAAGAGCTTAACTTTTTACAAAATAAGCACAACTACAAATCAGTATGAAATGATTAACCACTCGATGTAAAAAAATGGATGAAACCCAGGCACTTCTCAACAGGAATGTTCCAATGGTTGATAAATCCAAGAAAGGATGTGAATCATTGTCACAGGAAGTAACAATGGTTCCCTAACCAGATCGGTTAAAATGTTAAATTTTGACAATTCCAAGAGTTGACAAAGATGTGGAACAACAGACACTCTTAAACACTGCTGATGGAAGGAAGTGGTGTAACCACTTTGGGAAACTCTTAGCAGGATCATTACAGTTAAATATATTTACACGATCCAGCAATTCCCCTTCCCAATAAAAATGGCTACTTCTATGAACCTGGAGACCTGTTGACAAATGCTCATAACAGTCTTATTCAAAATGCCACAAACTGAGGATAGGGCAAGTGTTCCAACGGTGGAATGGATCAGTAAATTGGGAGATACTCACACACTGGAATATTATGCAATCATGAGGAAGAACAAAATACGGCTACATGCAATGACTGGGATGACCCACAAGTGTCCTGTGTAGTGAAAGAAGCCAGGTATAAAGAGTGCCCACTCCCCGACTCCACGCATGTGACCCTCACCAACAGGCATGCCGAAAGCCAACCAGGAAATGCCTGATAATTTCAGGCTGGTGACCACATCTTCCTAAGAGGGAAGGGTGGGGATCAATTAGGGCCCAAGGGGGCTTTGGGGGAAATAGAAATGTCCCTTTCTTTACCCCAATGTCTGCTT